CGGCCAGGCCCTTTATATGTAATGTTTTAATATTTTGAAACAGAATGTATTGTGTGATTAAAATTTAATTATTCAAATGCCTGCTCGTACGCTTGAAATACATCTTTCTAGTCATCATTTCAAATCCTCTGGCCTAACAACCACAATTAAATATCGATAGTAGCTAAGAGCCAGGAAATCACTGCCATCAAAAGAAAGTCACTGGTAATACAATTAACTTCGTTGTCAAACTACAGGTCCCCACCCCCCAAAAAAAAATACAAAACAAAAGTTAACCAAAGGCAGAGAGAAAGGGTAACAGCCAGAGGTAGGGCAAAGGGGGGCACCCAGCAGGGGAGCCCCCCTCCCCAACGAAGAAGAGACAGAACTGCCCCTGCCATACGCCTCCTTCCCAGGTCTGAGTCTCGGGGTGCACTTCCCCCTGAGACTGTGAGACTACTCTGTGCCCAGCCTCATGCACTCGGGCTGCAGGTGAAGTGGGGAGGGGAACTCTCTGCAATCAATTGCCTTAATCTGTTTATCACACCTATTTTTAGGCCTCCGTTTTATAGCTTGTGAAGCGAGCAGGTGCAGGGAGATCCAAACGCCCGGCTACGTTAAGATGTTTCGCGAGAAGGAGGAAGACGCTTGCACAAGCAAAACCAGAGTGGAAGCCACAGGCTGCTTTTGAAGATGATACCAATTAGGGAGGCTGCCGAAGATCTTGCTGATTTGCCCTTTGGTCAAGTGAAAAGGCATGGTCTGTGCAGCCGTGAATTACTGCTGGGAGGACTCTGCCTGGGCGGACCCAAACGTGGACGTGGACACACACAAGCCTCTCCTGTCCTGGCAGAGTTTGCTGGAGCCCACGGGAAACGGCGTTCACAGGAGCAAGCGCTCTCACTGCCCACCCCAAGCTGATCAGGAGAAGGCAGCCACGGCTCTAACAGCAGGCTCGGCCCTCATCAGAAAGAGTCCAGGTTGGACATTTCTCCGTTCACTCAGCAAACAGATGAGGCACCTGTACATGCCGGGCATGGTTCTGGGTGCAGGAGATTTGTTCAGCGGGAAATAAAACAATTCCCTTCTCAGGGAAATGATATTCCAGTACAAGAAGACCGAAAGATGTATAATGTGTCAGGCAATGGTAAGTGCTCAGAGGAAAACTAAAAAAGGAAAAAGAGGCAGAGAGTGATGGGGAGGCTGCCGCGTGACACAAGGGCCACGGAAGCCTCCGGACAAGGTGGCAATTGAGCAGGTACCTGCACGAGCAAAGGCATGAACCCTACAGGCATCTGGAAGGAAAAGGCTCTGGACAGCAAGAGCAAAGGCCCTGGGACGCCTGAGGAGAAGCAAGATACCCAAGGGCACAGTGTCAGGGAGAGGACAGCAATGAAAGAAGGTGTGAAGGTAAAGGCCACAGAGGGCCGTACAGGCAAGACCTCTGGGTTCATTTCTGAGTAATGTGGGAAGGGTCGGGGGGCAAGGGGAGGGGTCAAGCAAAAGAGAGAAATCACTGGACGTGCATTTACAAGGTCACTCTGGCTGCTGTGGGAGAGGTGGGAAGAATGGGACTGTGTCTGGGTGAAAGGCCACGGTGGCCTGGTCCTGGTAAGGGCAGAGGAGGTGGTGAGAAGGAGGAGAGTGTGACTGTGTTGTCAGGTCAAGCTGGTAGGATCTGCTGACAGAGTGGCTGCAGGGAGAGAGAAAGAGGGGAGTCCAGGGTGGCTCTAAGGCTTTGGGTCTGAGTACATGACAAGCGTGAAGGATGTGCTGCAAGCTGTGGACTCAGCAGTGGATACGAGAGAGTTTCACTTTTCCAGAAAAGTGACGGTGCTGTGAGGTCCAGGGCACTCCCATCTGCTGGTGGCAGCGTGAACACAGGGTCCCCCAACATTGTGCCCAAACTCCTTGGCGTCAAAGAAACAGCCCTGATGACTCCACTAGGAACAAAATAGGCTCGTCCATGCAGTGATTGGAAAGGTGGGCTCCAGAGAAAGGCAGAACCCTTCCACACATAGTCCCATTAAATACTCAGGGGGTACATATTCTCTTCATTTACAGGTGAAGAAACTAAGATAAAGATGACAGTGCTGGATGAAGTATCTAACTTGGAAAAAAAATACACATAGGAGGAGCTCTAATAATCTGGGATGGGAAAGGCCTTTCCAGACAACACACACAACTCAGAAGCCATAAAGAAAAAGACAGACAAATGTGGTTCATAACAATGTAAAATGTCTGCCTGACCAAAGATGAGCAAAGACAAAACCTAAAACTATGCACACACGCCCAAGAGACAAAAACAAAAGCAAACCCAATCACAAACAAGACTACACACAACACCTAGGAGAAAACTGCTTACAATACCTACAGCATGGGGTTGAGATCTATAATGCACAAAGAACTTTTCAAATCAATAAAAGACAAACAACCTTTACTTTTCACGTTTTTAAAAAGTAAAAACTATGAGTGTCAACTAACACACAGAGCAATTCGAGACCCCTGGGAAGACGAGACCACACCAGCAATTCGAGACCACACCAGCTTTCAGAGACACGCACAGGAGCGAGGACCTCATGCTTTTCACTTTGGGGATTAGAAAAATTGAAGAGCACTCACCTTTGGTGTCGGTGAGAGGGTGGGAAACGCTCTACTCTGCGGGGGGGAGTGTCAGTCCGGCCTCCTTGGAACATGATTTGGCAGAATCTATGAAAATGTTTCGTGTGTATGTCCCATGACTCAGTCATTCTATTAGCAGCTTCCACCTACAGATATATCTCCACACGTAAGCAAGAAAACACAGCAAGCTTAGTCACTGCAGCAGCGTTATAACAGAAAAAGACATGACAATAACAACTCAATGTCCATCCACACAAGGTTGTTTACACAAATTATTCACGCTGTCATATTTTACAAAGTCTTTAATAAGAATGAACTTGAACTATATGGACTAGCATCAAAGACCTCAAAACCACTGATAAAAAGTTATAGAACAATACATGCACATAATATATTATTCTGTGTTAAAAAACAAATTATAGGGGCAGCCGGTTAGCTCACTTGGTTAGAATGCAGTGATAACACCAAGGTTGCCAGTTTGATCCACACATGGGCCACTGAGCTGCGCCCTCCACAACTAGACTGAAACAACTACTTGACTTGGAGCTGATGGGTCCTGGAAAACCACACTGTTCCCTACTAATTAAAAAAAAAATTATAAATGTATATACATATATAAATATATATATGGCTGGAAATGCAAAGCAAAAGGGCTGGAAGTATATACCCCAAGCTGTTCAAGGCAGTTAGACTTTTGGAGAGAAGATTCAAATTGGGCAGGGGTGAAGAAGAATGGAGCCCTCCACTTATTACTCAGTACTTCCAAGGAAACACTAAGGTGTTTGATGTTTATAATTATGAATGTGTATATTGCTTATAAAATTGAAAATGTTTTAAAAATTAGAGGATGTTTGTGATACTTTGTATGCAAACTCTTTTAATCACACGTGACAGACACCTAAACCAAAGTCACTGAAACCAGTATAGGTGGCTCCTGTGCTTGGGAAGCCAGGGTGGCACTGGCCCCAGGCCCCGCTGCACGCAGGGGCTGAAACAACATGGCTGAGCCTGTCTCCTACCCCACCTCCCACTCTGCTTGTCTCAGCTTCTTTTCAGTCTCAAAAGATATCACCACACGGCAGAAGAGGGCTGCCTGAAGCCCCGGACACATATCCTCTCTGCGAGCAGCCCTATTGCAAAGGAACCGTTTCTCTTCATTTGTTTTAGTCCCAGGGGAAATGCCAATTAGGGTTACTTGACAAGGGTGCTTCTCCTTCACTCAGTGAGTGGGGCCAGGGCCATGGAGTACTTTGGGTCACCCGCCCACTCCAGCTAATCGAGGAAGACCCCGTTCCTGATTCCATGATCGACAGCCCCACTAGGTCCATGTGGAATGGGTAAGGAGTATCCCCAAAGGAGCCCAAACCAGAGGAAGAGGAACGTGAAAGTGTGACAGGCAAACCAAGCAGCAGACAACACAATCCACGACAGACCAGAAATGAGCAAGACCTGAAGTTACTGCCCCATGTCACACAGCTAGTCAATGGCCAGGGGACGCTGATCTCAGTAGGCCCTGTGTATCTGTGAAGTGGGTACTGGGGGCCTGTCATCCAAAAACTCAGGTAAACCCAGCACATTCCTTCAAGTTCCCCCCAGACTATCACCCTTGGAACCAATGAAATTTGCACTGATAGAATTTTGCAAGAGGGACGGAGCTGAAGGGCAAAATGGGGCAGTAGAAAGTTTGTGAGATATGAAAGAGAAAGACAAGATGGGGCCCGACAGTACTTCCAAAGAATAGGAAAATATGAGGGTGTCGTGACCTAAACATGAAGACTGTTCCTGTAGGCCCTTCACCAACTTCATCATCTATTAAACACCTTGTTTTGCATTGTAGTAGGAGCTATGTAGAGAATGGGGCAGGCATCTCACAGCTCTGTCCTCACAAGTCTACAATTATCGATGGACACAGGAGACTGTCACAGGATATGCACACAAGAAAAAACATGGCATCAGTACAGCCACCCAACTTTTTTTTTTAATATTTACTTAGCTTTTAATTTACAGCTCTATAAGGGGAGAAATACATTGGAAAAAATACAGTTATTTTTTCATTCTGAAAGATACTGCTTTGCCACGAGAAATAACAAGATAGACACACACACACCCCCAAAAGTAGTCTTTTTGAAGGTAAGAAATACCAAATTTAACAGACTATTTAGAAATGATAGGGAGCTAGGAAGAAAAGGTGAAAACACATGAGAAGTAATTTTATTTTTGTTTAACCTTAAGTTTGTCAACTGTTTCTTTTCTTGAACAAAATTGATCATTTGATACCCAGCTGCACTCATATTGGAAACTTAGTGAAAATTACTTAGTGATTCCATTTTTAAGTTATAAGTATATGAAGATGTTTTAAATATAAGTCTATCTGTATGCCTGATCACTTTAGAAACTTCTAATATCCTCTCTTTTATAAAAATTTTCTATCCTGATGTAGTTTGGTTAATCAAGAAAACTGGCTAAGTGCCACAAAGCTATGAGACAAAAAAAGTTTTTCCAACTACCACTATAAATAAGAAATATTTCAAATACCAATTTCCTCAATGAACTGTACAGTGAACTCTTAATTTAATAGTTTTCACTGTTACTACTTCACTTTAAACAATTGCCCATATAAGCAATAATAATAATAATAATGTACCTTTTCTGGGATTTTTAGAATGAAAAACGCTAAATGATGGGTTGAAGATACTAAAACTATTTCAGGCTTCAAACATGGCCTCTGTATTGAAATCTACAGGAAATTTTTCCAATTAACTTCCAAATCTTCCCATAAAATCTGTTTAAAAAATATGTCACCTTTGTAATAACTTGAATGAATGCTTTACAAACCAAAAACTAATTCATAAGTTCCTATTACATAATCATCAATTTTAACAAGTCTCCTAAATATGTTCTATATCAATTTTCTTGATTATAAGATGTCAATAATATGGAAAGATTTTTGATATAACAGAACATTTAATTACATTATTTTCTTGTTAACACACGTCATTTAATCATGATTATATTGGCCATTTCCACTGGTTGGCAGGAGGCTCTTCCACTAAAGGCTCCCATGGTTTCCACTGAATCATTTTTCTTGCCAGACTTAGTTCATTTTCAGCCTGAAGAATCACCTCTTCTATGTGGCCACCCTGAAGTTGGTCTTCTAATCTTTAAACATCTGATTCCACTTTCACCATATCCAGCTTGTCATTTGTAATCTGTTCTGTATACTTTCTGCATGCTGCATTTTTAGGGATTTGCTCAAGAACATCAAGAATCTTTGTGTACAATATTCTTAGCCTCTCATGTGGACTGTCACACACAGCTAATCCCACAAGGCCAGTGGTCTTCTTCAGCACGCCCGCCATGACAGCCCAACTTTTCTTTATGCAGAATCCAAACACATAAGGAAAACAACTCAGTCAATAGATGCTTAAAAATATAATTACAGGAAGGGTAACAGGCACAGTCGTAAATTCAAATTTTCCACATTGTTTATTCCTTTTACTCCACACTCCAGCCATTTATTCAACAAATATTTGGCTACTCAAACGCCCACTGCCTTCTGAAACCCAGACCACTCTTGGGCTCTCATTCTAAATGAGGACATAATCTACATCTGGTGGTATTGAATCAATCAGATTACCCCAATCCCAAACCATACCCTTTCAATGGTGGTTGAATATATCAAGGTAAACAATGCATTTTTTAATTATGTTGGCTGTAGCATAATTAAGATTGTCTTCACCCAGGCGCATAGAGCAAGAGAAGCCAGGCCCTGCGGTGCTCCAGCATGGGGTGGCAGCAGCAGTCCTTGCTCTTTTTTTTTTTTTTAATTTATTAGATGATGATGGTTAGTAAAATTACATAGGTTTCAAGTGTACAATTCTGTAATACATCATCTATATATCACATTGTGTACTTGCCACCCAGAGTCAGTTCTCCTTCCATCACCATATATTTGACCCCATTTGCCCTCTTCTACCACCCCCTCCCGCCTTACCGGCAGTGTTAGCTCTTCTTCATGGAAGGAAACGAACCTTGCCTCGGATCAAGGGATCTGGGACCTGCTCAGAAGGTGGTTGCCATCCCTAACCATCCACCTCTCCATTATTAGGAAAGGGGAAAGACAGACACTTCCACACAGAGGATGCCGAAACTACTTAGTACTAGTCTTTCTGAAGCTGGGCAACCAGCAATACGTACTCCATTCTTCATCACTTACATCCTATACCTTTTACAAATAAAGAACGTGAGACTTCCCGAGACAATTTTGCTTCAAGTCAATGGGAGAACTAAGCACATAGTGAAAAGCTTGTGTACAGACTTCCAGTACTCTCCCTTACCCAGGCCTTTTCCTCAGGCACACAGGAGAATTACACTTCTGGGCCCTCTTGTGTAATAGTTAGGTGGGCCCCTGTGATTAGATCTGGCCAAAGGGCTATGAGGAGCCATGATGCCATCTCCAGGCTGAAGTCCTTAAGTGCTGGTGTGAGACCCTTCAGGGCTCTTTTTTCCTTGTTTCGGTGACCAAAGCCACATGCTCTAGTCAGTGCAGCTATAAGATGGTGGAACCTCTGTCCACCTGGGTCCCTGAGGGACTCGTAGGAGCAGCCCCTCCAACGTTTGAACCGCCAATCTGTGTAAGACACGTGAATGAGTGAGAAATAAATTTTCATTGCCTTGTCTATTATGACAATAAAAAAGCTCTGAGTCTAGCAGAAGGCTAAGACATGTACAGAAATAAGTGAAATACGACAAAGGCAGTCTGACATTGGCCTGGCCTGTCAAAAGTACTCCACCGACATCTGGTGAAGGAGTGAACGAATGACTGACATAGAAGTGGAGTGGATAGTATGATGATGGAGGCTCAGACTAGGAAACGCTTCCATTGGGAGTTCATCATTAAAGGGTGACGGAGCAGAAGACATATGAATATTAACAACATAAATACTGAAAAAAAATCTGATAAGTAACTGAAACTTTCTTCAAGTTCATCTGGGAAAGTACCTACAACAAGGGTAACCCCTTTTCTGTGAGTCACCGCTCCACTGGGAATCTGAAGCCCAGGTGACGACTCAAGCCAGCTGGAACCTCCACCCTGAGCTACTAGAAAATGATTATTCTCCCTCCTCACTGAGAAGTATGTTGAAGATGGACCATGTGGCCCCTCCTCTAGAATTCCATGGGACTCCCCAGCCTGGCACTCTGTGTGCTGTCCCCACTGGTGGCTCACCTTGGCCACAGGCCAACCAAAGCTCCAAGTGGCTATCCGGGTGCATCAGCTCTGTCAGTGGCCAGCAACTGCTCTCATCAGCAGGTCATTCAACAAACCTGGTGGCAAAAGTTCCTCAAGTAATGAGATCTTCCAGGGGTTCCTCGGGTTGGCAGCTCTTGTAGTCCTCAGTGTCTTCCCCTCCGGCAGCTCCTGGGCGCCCGGATGGCCAGGTGGCTAACTCAGCATGCCCAGAAGCCCTGCAAAGCACCACTTCAGAGAGACCGTACTAAGCTAGCCCTCTCTGTTGCAACAATGGTACTGGCGACATCTGCCAACAAACTTCTCCTTTACAAAAACCCTCTCATTGCCCTCTAAGGACTGCAGACATGGTTACATTTCTAGCTGCCTGGCATGGGCAAGACCCAGGGTCACGAGCCTCATGAATCAGAGGGGTCTCCTACTGTCCTTCAATCCTAAGTGTGCCAAGGCCCAAGTGTCTACACAGTGGACTTGGCAGCGTCTCAGACTCCCTTCCCACACCCCATCTGCAGGGTCGGGAGCACCTCCGGACTCTAACCTCCGGCACAGGCCTGCCTCACCCAGGTCCTCACAGCCGGTGGGGAAGCTTCAGCCTCACTTGGGCTTCCATATATTCCTGGGGTTACGATCCAGCGGGACAGGCGTCTTCTCAGAATTAATGCATCTCAATGTCATCAGTAGTCACAAGGAAGTGTTTCTTACTGCTACCAACCATCCTAACGAGACAGCCCTCAGTGAGCTAGAAAATGCACTGCCACAGGAGTACGGAACCCTGGATTCTGGCTCCAGACTTGCCACTCAGGTAGCCGGGAAACCGGAAAAAGGAGCCTCCTCCCTGAGTCTCGGCTCCTCCACCTGTAAACTGGCGTTAGATCTGCCCTAACTTTAGGGGATAGTTGTGAAGCTGACATTACTCTTTCAAACCACTCTACAAAGCTGAGCAGTAGCAGTTTAGTTACTCTTTAATTTGCAATACATGCATATATTTAATTTATTTTTATTAAATGTATTTATTAAATGTATTTATTAAATTTATTAAATTTAAGAAATCCCTATTGAGATCATACATGCTCAGACTGCAGTACTAAATTATTAAACAGCTACCCCTTTAGGATACAAAGTGTCACAGGGACAAGGAGAGGTTTGAGGCCTGGTCCGTTCCTGAGTGACTTACCCTTGCCAGGGTTATAATAAAATTTAATCTTGCTGCACCAAAATTGAGAGTGGAGAGGACTCAGGATATCATCCAAGCCATGTCCCTCACTGAACAGACAGGGAAACTGAAGCCCAGAAAGGTTAATAACCAACAACAGCTATGGTGCTAGCTAATACTTACGGTGTGTTACTCTGTGCTGGAGACCAAGTGTCCAGACTCCTTGGACGGGACTATTTCTATGGGCAAATATAGAAATCCACTTCTTTGCATCTGTTCTGTTAGTCTAGCCTCTATAGCAACTGCTTATTTTTTATGATTCTCACACTGAGAGTCCTGAAGAGCAAAGAGAAAAGAAGAGCAAGAATTGAGACAGTGGGAAGAACAAAAGAACACTATAGGAGGCAGAGAGGAGACACGCAAAATATGGAAGCCAAAGTGAGGGAGCCCTAAAACGACTGACAACCATTGAAGTTACCCTAGAGAGGGCAGAACAGATATATGTGCTATATAGGTAGATGTGCTGGGGAAGTACAGAAAAGACAAAAGACTGTTTCTGTCCAACAGAAACATATATTTGAGTCCAGGTGAAAAAAGTATATCCTGTGACATAACAGAAGGGTAATTATTGAGGTCTCTAGAACAGCTTTTATTACCCTCAATCAATAAAGACTGAAAATTCTAGAAAGTGTTGTCATGACATGCTTGGACTATTATAGTAGCTACTAAATTGCAGTAGCCTTTCGTTTAAAAGAACCATCTCTGTTCATGGTTACTACTATTATCACAACACACACACACACACACACACACACACACACACACACACTCACGTCCTCATCTGTGGTCTTTGGACCTTTGGGTTCAGGGACACTGATAAGAGCCTCCCTCCCAAGTCACTCCTTGGAAAACCTGGGTGCCCCTTCCAGGGGTGGCATCTCAAGACAACCTTTCTAGGTGGGTGCTTTTTTGTTTCCCAAGCAATGACAGTCCCAGCAGCCTGTGGCCCCAGTGTCACCTGTCCTCCTCCACATTCTAGGATCTGAGGTTCACACAGAACCTGTCCTCCAGGTTTGGGTTCTGCCCCCCACTTCTCCTGTGCCAGGAGTCCAGAGCAGGTGGCAGATCCTGACCAAGTGGATGTCCAACTGGGAGCCTAGCCAGTGGGGTGCCCAGTCTCCACAGCAGGCTTTGGGGAAAGGAAGCCCCACTCATTCACCCCCAAAGGGGGGGAGAGAAGGATGGGCCGGCCTCTCTTCAAGAAACTGCACTGTCCCAAATGTGAGCATCTCCCTCCCTCCTCAGTCCTCTCCCTCCTGGGGAGGAGGGCTAAGATGGGGCTGGGCGGGTTGGCTGGGAAGCAGAGAACTTATGGTGAAAAAGCATCCATCTCAGGAGACCCAACAAGGCAGCCCCAATATTCAGCTGTTCTCCAAATGTAGAACTGGAGGCACCAGAAAATGGCGGATAACAGTATTTATCTCGTAGGGTTTTAGTGAAGATGAAATGGGAGAAAGTGTGGGAAGCACTTAGGTCAGCGTTGAGCAGGCAGCATGTGCCACGGAAGTGTTGGCATTACAGTCATCATCATTTGGATGGAGTCTTGCTTACATTTCCAGATTATTGGGGAACATCCTGCTCAGCACGACCACCAACCTGTTGTGCTAAGCCTCAAACACAAAGAATGTTCAGTATGGTCATAGTCTAGCCACTGGAATCTGTTTTCACTGGTCAGCACAAATGTAGTAAGAGATTGGTCGAATTCCGTGGTTTTCCCACTTCCTGCTCTTTAACAATGAACTCTTTCTTCATATGGAATACCAGGTGAAGGCTAAATAAAATGTAATACTGATGTGATTGAAACAGGTCTGGGAGATGTGGGGTGGGGTCCTAGAGCGGGCCCCCCCTCACCCTACCCCTCCCCTTTGCAGCAGCACCTGGGGATCCAAGGGACACAAGTTAAAAAGCAAAATGGGGGTGACTGGTTAG